CTGTTAATGCGTTGATTTGGTCTCAAATGTCATAACTAATGGTCTTAAAAGGTCTTAAATTTAACTTCCTGAAACCTGCATGAACCCTGTAAGAATGATGTGACGAAAGGAATTCAGTGTAAAAAAAATGGCTCAAAGTCAATTATTAAGCATCTCAATCTSACTTTAAACAAAGTGTAGGTTTGAATCTTAYGTCAGTCTTAGAGCTGATTWATGCTGCCAWYCCACAGCATTTTATAACTAAAATTTATGGATTTCATGAAGGTTGAGTTAAAGAAAAGAAACATAAAAGTTTTAAATCATGTGGAGTAGTTCATATTTAACTCTGTATTCCTGTGATTTGTTTCAGGCATATGGTTTCACACGTGAGCAGAGCTCCAATGCTTTAATTATCCACGGGACTGTAAAGAAAGCGTTAGAGGTGCTGTCCAAGTTACACCATCAGCCAGGTGAGTCACCACAGTGTCGTCGATGGATTCCCGCTGAAGGTTTTCCACAAACTCATCGATTTATTTATTTATTTATCTTGTATTTTAGGAGCTGGTTTAAACGGCGCTCTCCCGCCGCCTCAAGTAGCRAACGTCACCGGCGTTTCTCCGGTTCTTTCAGCCAGAACACACACTTCAGCCGCCGCCGCCGCTCAGCTGCACAAAGACGTCGAGAAAATAAGTCTAAACAAACCTTCAGGACCGGCCCAGAACATTCCCAGTGTTAATCATAGTCAGGTCACGAAGACCAAGAACGGATACAACCAATCAGCACCGTAAGTCCCATCAGCAACACGGTTAAAGAAAACAATAAAATACTTTTATTTATTTATGTAGTCACCAGAGTAAGTCTTAATCTGCGTTTGATCTTTGTGTTCCAGAGAGCTGTTTCCAGTTTGGGTGGGAAACTTGACCTATCCCCCAACAGAGACCACAATTGCAAAGCTGTTCAGCGAGTACGACGTTCTTCTGTCACTTATTTCAGTTCCAGTGCATTAAACCCTGTGATTCCTGAGTCATTGTGTGTCTCTCACAGGGTAGGGCTGGTCTATAGTGTGAAGGTTTTATCTTACAAACGTTGTGCCTTCGTGAACTTCACTAAACAGGAGCACTGTGATGAAGCTATCAGACGCTTTCATGTAAGTACACTCTGACTGGATCTGTTTGTTTTCAGCTTCTCTAATTTCTTCTTCCCTCCTCCGTGAGCTTACAGTGTCAAACTGAAACGATATCTCAGATTATTTAATTAAAATAGATACTGGTAAACTACTCAGGGCACTTCTGTCTAAGGTTAGTTGTGCTGCACCTCTGCTAATGCTAACTGCYTTATTTAGCTATGGAGGGTAGAAATGAAGCGCCCTGAAAACGACACATTGTTAAAAGTGTGGGAACATTTTAAACATCAGAACATCTAGGTTTCTGGAGTCAGAACAYCTTTACCTGTTAAAAAAACAAACAARCCAGGACTGAATGTTGACGTGTTTCAGGGCTCTATACTGAACGGTATGAGGATCGCTGTGAGATACCCCGACAGGATTCCTGCAGGCATGGGCTTCTCCAGATCTGCCCTCAGATCTCACGACCAGGAGGATCTGAGGTCAGCGTTTGTAACGTCAAACAGCTTTTATCAGCTTTATTTGCCTCGTGTTTGTATACGATGCTTACTTGGGTCTTCGACTGATCTGATTGGTTCTCCTGCCTGCAGGCACTACGCTGAGGGGAGGAGAGCGTTTGAAGCCAAAAGTGTTGAGAATCCAGACCAAAGAGGCAACAAGTGACTGCAGACGTGAAGCCGTTTGAGTTTGAGGAATATCAGCTGTTTTCTACAGAAAGTTCAGGCTTTGCTTCTTTAAATGTTGTTGGATCACAGAAGTTAACTTTAACTGTTCTTCTTTCATTACTGAATATAAAACCAAACATGCATCTTTGAATTATTATTACTATTATTATYGTTTGAAGCAGGAGGTAAACTTGTTTAAAGTTCACAGAATGATCAGTTATTTTAACATTTACGTACAGTAAAGAAATATATAAAGGTGTTTTACTATAGTATTCAAATTCAGTCTACAGT